ACTGGTATCTCACAGTCAAAACACAGAACTTCACCTGCAGTAAGCGGTCATAAGAAACACATTTTCCCCCCCCAGTACTGCAGAGGGCTTGGAACGCACAAGTATTAGCAGGCTAAAAGTTACTATAATGACTAAAAGATAAAGTGGGGAAACGTTGAACTGTTTGACAGCTTACTGACTCCAGAGCACTGATGAGCACTAATTTGTTGTGAACTTCCCTGGCTTTTACACACACGTGCAAATAATCATTTGGGTTGAAACCTGTCCTGCTAAACTTACTTCATTCCAAAGCAAGTTGGAAAGTTTGAAAAAATACCCAGAGAACCATTTTTGAGCACTACTGCTGTGAAATGTTTACATGCTTCTGGTGTTTTAAACCAGTTCCAACATTGCCTTATCAAGTGAACCACTTGAATAGCTCTACAGCATATTTTTAAGACTGCTGTCCACTAAAAGGCGTCACATCCAAAATTTAGATCTTCAAAGCCCAGTCTCTGCTTTTACTACCATTTGTACGCACCCACTTGTTATATATTCGATTTCCCAGAATCCCATTTTTGTGCATGCTCTGAAATGACTCAACCTTACCCATGTAAAATGCATCAGTATTGATCTCCTACATCTCCCTGGAATTCACAAGCAGGTCTTCTCTCTCTCCCATCACAGGAGCTCATCCTTTACAACAGACTGCACATAAAAAGCATGTTCTTCTATGCCACAACTCAGTGGTTAGCACAAGTCACCAAAAACTCAACTTCATTTCCATCTTCTCTCAGAATTTTCTCTAGCCTGTTTTTCCCACTTCCCAGGAGGTCAGTAACGTAGGCTGGGGCCCTCCTCATTCCCTTCTGTTGAACCTGGTCTGATTTTGTCGAGTAAGCATTCACCACAAGAGTATGTGCATGTATGAGCCCACACGTGCTACGGGACACCCCGTTCTGTGCACAGGGGGAGGGGAGGGCTGGAAGGGGGGCCTGAGTTCCAGCTGCCGCTCCAGTGAAAAGTTTACATATCTTTGGCAGTCGCTAGAAACGTACCACGATTCCTTCCTGAAAGGGAAGTCGAGCAGGCAGCGAAAACCATAATGGAAATCTGAAGCAGAAGAAAGCATGTCTAACACCCAGTAAGGTGATGGCGAATCCTCAGAAAGATGCAGGATTTAAACTTGGATGCTTCTCACTAAAGTTTCCCACTGGCTAAGCCTCGTCACTTCCTCGCTCAGTGCAACAGTAACCTGAAGTCCACTTGGAGCTGCGTATCTTCCCTCGTCCATACACTGCATCCCTAAAGAGGGAGCCCTAAAAGTTAACAGTGGCAAATGCTCAGCAGTGTGGTGTCTACATCCTTTAACGCTGCTCGTCTAGTTAACAGCCTTGGGGTTGCTTAGAAATAGTAGTTTAAGAAGCCATAAATATTTTCAGTCTTAAATTCTGTTTAGACGCTTGAGTTCAAATAAGTTGGTTTAATTGTGACATTTCCCATTCTGCTGGGCCTTTGGCCCTACACACACTTCCTTCCTTTGAACTGCAATTCAGAATTCAGATACTATTAGCACTATATTCCACCAACAGCACATACTATAACTTATATTATTTGAACAGTAAGTAGACTCTGAAATGTTTCAGATAAAAGCCTTTCAACAGAATCTACGCAGGTCAGGCTTCTTTTGAAATTACATGAAAGGTAAGAAAGGTGCCTGAGTTTCTGAGCTCTTCTTCCTTTAAAATAGCACAGAGGTGCCTTGTATTGTGCAGCATGCAGCAACAATACTAAAAACTGACTTGAAAACAAAGTATTTCAGGGTTGGATTTGAATATCAAATTAGGTACCAGCTTAAGGGAAGGACCCAGGCGTCATTGTAGATGACCATATCAGTTCAGTGGGCAGCTATTGAAAAAATATGGAAAAAACATATAAAGAAAAGTATAGAAGATAACAGTTCTTCACTGTACAATGGAGCTATAGCAAAAGCATACTAACCAATTAGAGAAGGTAGACTAAAATTCTGCTGACCTTATGTTAAAACAAGAGCTAGAAAATAATAAATGAAGCTAAAAATGTGTGTACTGCTTTCTCCACACGTTATGATTACAACGTGTAACACATTATCAGTAAGGACAGTTCACGTCCAAGTGCTTAAACGATATTCTGAAAAAGCTCAAGCTTTTTTTTTTTTTAATGGCTAACAGTAATAGCCAAAGTAAATTTGGATAGCTTGATTTTTTGCAAAAGACAATTAAGCCCATGAGTCAAGATTTACACCAATCCCTAACGACTGGGAGTGGAGAAAGAGTGCCCTGATGCTGGGGACAAATAATTTTCCAGGTGAGTTGCAGGCGTTTTATTTCTCCGCTGAGAGTACCAACCACTCTTCCCAATGCCAAGGACAAAAACCTGTCTCAATGTTGCTAACTGTCAGGTATTACTTCAAGGAGCCCCATATCAGAACAGCAGAAGTGCCTGCCGACTTGCACCTTTATGCTGTCAGAACTCAGAATTGACACTACTCACTGTTCTAACAATCACACTTACTCCTAACCTTTCAAAACGTAATCTTTTGGTGTGCATGAAACAAAGAAATGACCAGGGAAAGTAATTTCTCAAAAGCAACACTGAAAAGCTGCACTAGGCACGATTCGGTCTGGCTGCAGCGATGTTCCGAATTTACAACTTCAGATTTCATAATTAAAATCCGGTCTTGTGCAAGTATTTCTACCTTTATATTATTAAGTTTTCATACACTCAGAGAGCAACAGAGGTGGATCATACCTGTGGGATGCCACATGGGGAAGTCCTCTGAAACTTCCCTAGAAGCGACTGGGACCACTTCTCCAGCAATGCTATTCAGCCTAACTAGTCCAAGCAACTGGATAGCAGAAAATCACAATTAACGTATAATAAAAAACATGCACAGACTGATAGATGTAACATTACCAGTATGCAAAAAATTAAAATGAAACAAATTAAGAACTCCAAACATTAAATTCAGATTGTTTATTGTAAACAGAATAACTCTAGCACTCTGTCATACTGGCTGTGTCACATGCACCCAATTCCACATCAACTGCTTAAAATAGCACTTGCAAAAATTACAGTTATGTAATAATAATTTATGGTTTCTTACATAAACTAATTAACAAGCACTAAAATTGAATTACAGTGTATTCTAGGTAGTTTTTTATTGCTTGTAGACACTGCAGCTTTGGATCCATTAAAATGAACCCATTAGTATGCCTGAGTTTATCAAAATTTACTGCTATATCAAACTCAGAAACTGTAAAATGCTGGAGAACACTTAAAAGCAATTGAGAGTTGCTGGAAAACTACATGGGTTTCCACATCCAGTCACAGAACTTTGAAATTCTACGTTTTTTCCTTTGGAAAACATGATTTGTGAGCTTGTGTTAAATACACTGCCATTCCAATTTATTTATATAATTTGTTAAAATTAGAGTTGATAGTACTTCCATGAATATATATCTCTCTATTTATTTTTACACACGATAGAAGCCATTTCATTTTATCACCTTAAGAGTGGTATGTTTAAATACTAAATTCCAAAATATATATTTTTATAATATGTTGTCAAAACTTTTAATATATATAATACAAATACTTTTACTAAAGGAAAACTATAAACAAAAGTGAAATGCAAGAGGGTAAAAAGCCCATTTTATGTGAAGGATCCATGAAAAATGTGGTGAACAGAGACATGTTTACTGTTTTTGCTTATACTATGTTTAATTTTTAATTTTACAAAAAAAACCATCTAGTGGCCTTCCTTAGCAACAGGTTACATCACAAACTATCATCAAATTTATTATAAGATGTTGAAACACGTACTGTTAGCCTTTAAAACAACTTTTAAATACACTGTGTTTATTCAATTAGAAGAGACTCTCAGATAAACACAACTTAGGGCCCTTACCCTGTCAAGCATTCATTTAATTTGGCTTCAGAGCCAGTGTAAGAACGAACATCGATTCAATGACAAGACCAGCTCTGTTGAATATACCAGGATTCTGACATACGACAACGTGCATGTCACATCACGGCCTTAGTTTCAGGTTCTTTTAATAAGAAGCAAACTCTCAGTAACACCCCCGATGAGCAGATTTTATACCTTCAGTGCTTTCCATACTCTGTCCTGTCTGAACAATCACAAGCAATTTTATGCATTAAACAGGTAGGAGAACTTAGTCATCAGTAAGATGCTCCCTTACCTTTTTCTGTCTGGGGGCTGTTCCAAGCACAAGACCACTCTGCAGAAGTCAGTAAACTTGGTGAAGATTAGACACCACGTATTGTTTTACCATTTTACTGAATTATGGAATATATATACCTAGAGTATTTCAGCGTAACTCTTGAGCCTTCTGGGTTCTGCGCAGCCCTCTTCGAAGAGGTGGGAACAAACATTTTGTGATGTAACCTGAACCACACCCTGTGCTACAGCAGTACTGCTGACCCAGTACTGCACTGTCCCAAATGCCTTCCTGAAGACCAAGAAGGACCCACACAGATGTATCAGAACAATGATGTATCTGATTCATTACAGGGCCCACGTTTGACATTCACCTCTTCTTGAGTCAAGTACTACCGCATGTTTAAAGTTATTTGCGGTAGTAAGTGCTTTGCTGGACTGACACCTAACATAACAAATGAGGCAAAATAGACCGAGTTCTCCATCAGCACATGCGCAACTGAAAACAAAAAAAATGACACCAAATAAGTATTTTATATACCAAATGGAAACAATTCACAGTAACACTGAAAAACTGAACAGGATGATGACAGTATCGAGAGATTGGGACAACACTTTTGATAACAAAAATAAGATGCACTACTAAAGTGTTTCCAGCATTTTACTAGTTTTAATATAAAATGTCCCCAAATTTGTATAGAAAGATTAAAATCATGCCCATATCTTCAATTATTCTCATTAAGACAATTCTCTCACGTAATACTGTATTGTCAAATTTCCTTTTTTTTCCCCACTGATCTTCATAAAACTTAAATAGAAAATATGTTGGTTGCATTAAGGATCAATTAAAAAAGTATCATTCAACACGTCACTTCAAAAAAATGTGAAAGTCTCTATTTTTAAGAAAAATTGTTGACCCCATCCCAAAAACATTTCTCACTCCCTCCAGCCCCAATAAGATAATTATTGGGATACTAAACGGTGTTTTTCTGGAGTAATAGAGTAATAAGGATATTTCAAGCAACTTTGTTTGCTCTGGAGGGTTATTTTATCAAAATGAAAATTTGAAGGGATATACTATTTTAAAAATATACTGCATCTACAAGTTTTTTATTATTATTGTTTCAGTTGATTTTGGTTTTGAACAGGTTGTCTGTAATATAAATGACACATGACCACAACTGATTTTTATATACTCTCTAGCCCTAACACACAGCTAATGTCAAACGAACCAAGAAGGAATTTGGGACTTTCATAACGGACAGAACCATTTATCCTAATGATCTTTAATAATTTTGTTCATCATGAAGTCCCCTGAAACCATGTCAGTACTGATCACTTGCATTTCTTCATCCATTGGGGTTCTTCACAGTTTTGCAGCCATGAAATTGATATGTGGTTTCACCAGTGGGAAGAGTGGCAGACTGCGCTTGAATTCTGTCATATTTTCAATCACACTTGGCTGCAAAGAAGCGTACGCAAGAAAAAGTCTGCTCAATATCTTTAATCAGAAAACTGAGAAATTCCTCCCTTTTCATTTTAACTTTTGCTACAGCTACATAAAACACATCTTTCTTGCTCTTTTCTACAGTATTAGTGATTCACATTTCATTATTACAGGATCCCCCAAAATATACTGTTATTTCTTATGAAGTAAATGGTTTCATATTTACATTGGATAATTTAAAACAATAACTATAATGCAGTAATTGCGTTACTAATAATGGCAGGAACTTTCGTAAATGCAGAGCTTGCCTTTTCATTTACAAACTCTACTTCAGAACATCCCACCTATCCTTTGAATATCACAGGTAAGATCATAACAATAGCAATTCAATGAGCTAGTATTTTTAGTTGCAGTAACGAAGTAACTTTTCCATATTTCAGTCACAATGGCTAATATATCCACATATAATTCATACAGCAATTTCCACCTATGATGATTATTTCACCTATAAGGACTGAATAAGAACACAGATCTACTACTGCATTGTGAAAAGTTAATTATCTATTGGGACAAACATTACCATCCTTCTTCAAGAAAATTCATTTAAGGTCCAGTAAGGGCCCAGTGCTATCATATCTAACCACACAGTGAAATCTGTAATACTTCTATGAACAGAATTTGTCAAATTGCTTCCCCTGCAGGTTACACATTGAGAGGAATGGGCGTTACTATTTTAGGCTTTAAGATAATGACCAGATAGTTGGTTTTATTGCTGTTGGTTTGGGGTTGAGGGTTGTTTTTGTTTGTTTGTTTGTTTTTTAAACAAAGATGATAAATTTGTTGATGCATATGCATCTTTCTCTTGGCACCTGATACATCCTATCATATACAATCAGTATTTTCAGACAATAACAATCTGTATTTTACTCCATAGTGAAGATAATCGGTAGAGCTAACTACTACTATCAGCTTTCATCTCAATGGAATAGAAGGAACAAAGGTAGCAGGACAGACTGTTAAAAAGAAAAAAAAAATTAAAGAAAAATCCCTGTCGTTATTGAGGATGACAATACGTGTGGAAAAGAGCTGAAACATCAGCCTCACAACAGCATGAATTTCAAGAAGTTTGTTTCTGCCTATAAACTTATGTTTAATGATACTAAACTTCCATATTAAGAATACAGCCTGAGATTTTTTGTGTGTTGTTTCTTTTTACCTGTGGTAGTGGCGGTGCTGGTGCCAGGTTCACATCATTTTGGCATGGAAATTCACCAACAACAGGGCCTATTCAACATCATCAAAATTAATTCAGGACCATAATTTAATCCGTACCTTTTACATAATAAACTGTTTTCTCTTGTAAGACAGGTATCTATATAAAGCACAGGTTATTGATTTTAAAGTATCTCTAAATAAGATTTTCTGAACATTTTGCTTTTATACTCCATGGGTGTCTTTAGAAATACAAAGAGCTTAATCCATGATTTGACTTGAGAACATGTGCTGAGGCAGTGGCTTTTATTCATTTTACTTACACATAAAGAGAATGTAGAAATAAAAATTGCTAATCTGCTAATCAATGAATACTTAAAACTGTTTTCCAGTACAAATTATGAGAACAGTAGCAAATGCCAGTAGTATATGCAACAAGAGCAATGCAACAACAGCACATCTTTCAGTAAGGACACGCCTATGGAGGCGTGGGGGTTACTCCATGTACCAGAGTTCTGGATAGCAACTCCAAATCCTCCCTGCCTGTCCCCATGCATGCCCTACTCCAGTCCCTCTAAAACTTCTTCCTGCATCCAATCTACTTGTCCCTAAGAACATCTAGTCTTAAATTCCTTAAACCTCCCTTCTACCTCCATACTCAAATTTCAACCCTAACCTTCACCTTGGGAGTTCAAGTGCTTCTCCCTCCTAAAATCCCAGATATCTACTCTACTGCTTTGGATTCTTTTCCACTCTCAGAGAAAATGGTGTGTCTGCCTCCAGGAGGAATGGTTCTCTTTGGGAAGCTTTTTAGCCTTCCTCCTTTGTGTTACCCTCCTTTGCGTTACATCTAGAGGATGGGCACCTGCACTTGGACTTGGACACCTGCTCATTTGGACTCACAGGAAGTGCATTCAAGTCCCAGTTTCTTTTTCATGGCAGAAGAGAGGCCACGTGCCAGATCGAATGGTTTAAGACTGGGGAGTATGTGGAGAGAATACCTTGCTATAATCTCTGTAAGAGTAACCACTTGTTAGGTTGTCTCCCATGCTCACCCCTGTCTTGAGAAGATACTATTCCAAGCAAATAAGAAACCATTCTGGCAATGTCATTACTACATTTTAAAAAGTTTTCTCTAGATAGGAAAAGTATTAGAGCTATTTCTATTTAGCAATGATTAGTCATGAAAACTGGAAAGATGCTTTGAAGCAAGTCTTCCTTACTCAGCTGCAGAGTTACAATTTCCATGGTACCATAAAAATCAATCATTCTGAGACTGGAAGGAGTTTCATGACAGGCACACAGCTACCTGCTTCTTTCTGTTCTACAGACAAGCCTTTAATATTCTTGATTTTGCAATCAGTTACATGTTGGAATTTAAGTCCAGTATAAACTGGTGAAAAATCTACACAAAACAACATAGACGTTTTTCCTCTCAGTTTGTTTATATTAACCAGAAACACTTTTAACCTTTTCCTTCTTGAATTCTAAAATGGAACAACACAGTTTACAACGCACAGCTAATCCAGATTATTTGAAAATAAAACCTAAACAAACTTTGACTTTCTCAAGTTTAAATATAGTGTTTGACATTCCCAGAGAGTTGGGTTTTGTTTGTGGTTTTGTTTTTTTTTTTTTTCTTCCTTTGAGAGTGCTTCAATAAAATTGTGGACATTCATTGCTTGTCAGCAAAAAACCCCCAACTTCATTGTATTGATAACTGCAAATCCTAATTTTGTTTTTCCTTGTAGGACTATTACAGTGTTTTATGTTTGTTTTAAAATATCCTGTTGAAAGAAGAAGGGCTATTTTAAGATACATTGTTTTAATATCAATATACTTCAGAATGGCTGAAGAACTTGGCCACAAACGTCGATCAGAAAATCTGAAGCACCCACGTGAAGAAAACCTATAAAAAGAAATACTTTTTCCTCTGAAAGGTATAATCCTCAGAGCTGAGTTTTTCTTATACTGCATTTGTATCATATAACATGGCTGTCTTTAACTATGACTTGCTTGAACAGGAATTGATTAAATACTATATTCAGCACAATACTTACAGGAATCCATTTCCCTTGCAAGGACGTGTACTGATACCTTGTGTCTTCTGGGAGCATCTATTGCCAACAGCACCTACAGTAAAAAACATCAAGTCCTTCAGGTGTGGGAAGTATCACTTAGACATTGTATTTATAAAACAGTAAAAGAACGAGAGCATTTAAATTTTAATTTAAGCTTTAAAATGAGGGACGAATTTTGGTATGTCCCTTCAAATATTATTAAAGGTCATCCCTACAATACTTTGATTTTACAATCAAGTTAAAAAAATCCATGTACTGTTTGGGACTCAGAAAAACTGGAAGTAATAGGAATTCAGCCATTAACTATCATAGTATCAGGAATGGAACCTAAAATCTCTGCAGAATTTTCAATCCCTAGCAGCCTTCTGGAAGCAAGTCACCCTGAACACAATTATTAAACTCAGCTGGACTAGCTCACCAATCTAGCCAGTTATTTCTGCTCTGGAATACTGGATAATCATGTACTGAGCATTAGTGTAAGCAAAATAATATAGATTCCTACAAACACAGAATACAGATACTTGTTCAAGTCATCATTTATTAAACAACAGCTGCTGAAATTCCATTTACTAAGTTTGTATTTGCTCCACATCTTCACCCATGCTATCATACTATTAAAAAAGAAAAACCCAAACCAAAGATGTTAGCATTCACTGTGCCATGTAAATAATAACCAGTTTTATGCATTAAGACTAAATCTCATAAAAATAGACGGTAATGTAAAAATGACCTTGGATAGTGAAAAGGATAAGACAGAGTACAAAAGAGAAACAATTCTGAAAGACATTAGGCCCCCCCAAGAGAGAAAAAAAGAATATATAGATACACACATACCCATGCTTCTTCATGGGCAGAAAATTTTCCATCCAATAGCAAGTTCCAAAGACGTACATCTACACTATTTTTCAAAGTATTCCCTGAGCTATTAGCTGCTCCGTAAGTAATAAAACAATATGTACACTTTGCAATATAGTGAATTATCATTGCCTATGAAATTTGTTATGAAACAGAAAGAACAAGGCCCAATTTATTTGGGGGGGGACCCTCTAGTATTTTGCTTGCTTATATTAGATATCTATCTAACAACTTCATGCCGAGTTGCAACGTACAATTATTGCATCATTACGCTGTTCCTTTGTTCTGCCTAACTATGAGAGGAAGAAAAAAAGTGTTGATTTACAGTGAACAAAGCTTTAAAAATATCTGTTTCATTCACAGTTCACGCACACAATAAGCTGAATCATTTACTGGTTGTAGAAAAAAAAAATAAAAGAACAAATTTGCAATTTTGGCCAAGCTTGGTCATAGACTCATAGAGCAGCACATTTTTTATTCAGAAAGAAAGGATAAATGAGACAAGAGGATAATAAGAGCTGGTAAGAAAACAAATAAACAAACAAAACTTCAAAAACCCCACAATCCTTCTCCATAATTTTTACAGTATGCTAGTTGCCACTAAACTAAGTAGAGATTCAGAAAACAAAATTATTATTAAGGTATCTGCATCAATCATATCATCTACTTAAAACAGGCACAAGTATATGCTTTCATAGTTCACACAAATAACATCCAGCTATATCTACATCTGTTTCCAAGTAACATTTTAACTAGACAACTAACTTACCTTGTAGAACTGTATAATATCATCCTTGGTCAGGGTCTTTAGATAAGCCACTTCAATGTTATCTGCACAACAATAGTAAAAATTAGAACAAGTCTGCAAATCATAGCTGGTTATTAGCACACTACTTATTCAAAGTAATTTTCTTTCAAATTCAGATGCTGTAATTGACTGCAAATGATATGCTTTACATTCTTAACTTTTCAAGCTAATACTTGCATCACTAAAAGTGTCATTGGAAGCCTGGCAGAAAATTGTACTTTAGAAAGTCCACTTGATTGGACTTACTAAAAAACACGTTTGAAGAATACTGATTGCACTGTATGTTACTCAGTAGCTAAAAAGATATGCCTACTTCTGTATATTATCTTCAAATCAATGTTACATACTTCTAATGCAGACTGATTATAGATGGCTTTTATGCAGTTAGGAAACAGGATGGTAGGATGGACTTTGGCAGGATGTACTTTTAAATAAATGTAAGGAACGGTGCCTACATCATACCTGTTAAGGAATAATCACTTTTAAGGTATCTGGGAACAATGTGTCTCAGTAGCTACATCACTTCATATAAATTAAATAGTAATGAACTAATCATGTAATATCATAGCTGCATAAGCACGAATGTTTTTTGTTGTAGGCATGCTTGCTTTTCTTAGGGTTAGCAGGATCAAGAAGGAAACGTGTGCAAGAGAACAAATATACAGCTAACAAGTTTGTGAGGCAGGCTGCAAGTAATTAATATGAAGTTCTGCATGGAGGAAATAAAAAAAAATCAACAAAACACAGTTTGGAAAATTAACGACATTTGGGAGAAAATTTTTAAATTAAGTAAAACAGTAAAAGTAATAACAATAAAAATGTAAAAACCTGAAGAAAAAACCCTTTCACTTCTTAAGGCTGGAATATGAATTTCTAATTTTGACAATTCTAGTCATATTAGAATCATTAATGAAATAAAATTACTAGTGGATAGAGGGGAATTAAAGATATAAAAGTCAAGCGAAATAGTAAGTTGAGTAGGATTTAGATATGAAAGATATGGCTACAGCTAGCAGTAAGAAATTCCAGAGAGATAATACAGATCCATGTATGGTAAAAACAGAAACACTTCAGTGAGCAAAAAATCAAACTGTTTCATCAGACACAAAAGAAAGTACTTGAGGGGCTAAGTTTCCACGCCACTCCTTCTACTCAGGCATGAAACCTTGTCAGTAGCTCTCATTCTCTCGAGACCAAGCTAGATGACAATTCAAAATTCTTCATTATTACAACAGTTCAGTTAGTCATTGTCGACCAAAAAGACTGTATTTGCTATTGTGGAAGGCCAATCCTGTGCATGTAAAGCAGAAGAGAACTCACAGGATACAGAATGAGTTTTATGTAGGAAGCATATTATGCATGGAAGATGGAAAATTACAGCTGTGAATACGAGTTGAGACATGAAAATGTGAGGAAAAGCTGATCTGTACCTAAAACTGATTTTTTTTTTTTAAATGTTAGAAACTATATTACCAATATACCTCAATATTTTGGATTAAAAATCTTCAATCAATGATGAAAAAGGGAAAAATACAACATAAATACTATGTAGGATCACAATGCAAATAACAGTCCATTTTCAGTATAACACTAGAAGTTGGATCTCAAATGGTCTTGTACAAGCTGATAATCTTCAAAGTATCATGGATGAAAAACCAAAAAAATTAATGTTTCTTCAAGCCTACTCTAAGCTGAGACAGGTCACATGTTAGTTCAGATACCTGCTGTTGTCTCTGCCATCACTCCCTCAAAAGAACTGCGCAACGGGAAGAGGAATAGGGGTCATATGAATGTGTGCACTGTCAGGAATATCAAACTGTATTTGAATGTATCTCAGTCAAGTATTAGGCACATACGTAATACAGACATCTGAACATCACAGAAAGAAATTTGAGCTTATGCAACATCAACATTTGCATTCAAACCACTTCCAGTCCTTACCTACTCTATGTCTCACTGAGCCTTAAGGGAAAGAACGGAAGGTCAATGAAGCATTCGCCAACCCCCATCATACGGTGAACATCAGGGAACACGTTTATCCTGTATTACTAATGGCTCCCACAGCAGTGAGGGCACAGGCTCCACAAGGGAGGAATTATAATTTGTCTTACCTCTGTCGAAGTTATACTGCTGGGAAATGATTTCTCCCCAGTATTTAGCACATTCTGCAGACAGCTTCTTTGGTTTGTCTAGACGACGAATTGCTAAAGCTTGGATGTGTTTTTGGAAGGCCTCTTCTGTCATGTCTTCTATGCATTTCTCCATAGTTTTTAAGAATGCTTCAACTCTGCTTTCTAAATAGTGTGGTGGCTTTTCAGATTGGATAATAAATCGCAGTCCTTGTATGCCATTTGCCCGACGCGGACCACTGAACACAATGTAACCTTTGCAAAACAAGAACAGTCACAAATTAGAAGAAATCCCTTGTTTCAGCATTAAGTTTGTCAAACGTGGCATGTTTAACAGGAATGAAATTTTATGCTAAGTTTAATTCTGTATTATAAATGAAATAATGCAGGTTTTCAAAATATGCCACTATATTTTTTTAAAACATCTTTATTTCGCTGAGGTAAATATCAGTTCAGGGGAGGGGCAAGGAGGAGGTGAGGCAGACCAAGACAGAACAAAAGGAATTCTGTCATCAGGATTAGGTAACCAGAAATTAAATTGTACTCTAGTGTTTCATTAGACTCAACATTAGGAATTTATTATTAATTTTTTTGTAACATCTAGTCTTAATTCTCTTTGCTGCAATGTAAGACCACTATTTCTCATCTTATCAATTAGATACAAAGAAAGTATTATTCCCTTCCTTTTTGTTGCAGCTTTTGCTTATCTGAACACCAAACCTTTTTTCAGTCTTCTTCCCCTCTTTAATAACAGATCTGTCACATTTCAGTCTTTTAAATGTTGTTTTATAGCTCTCTAATTGCTCCTTGATGCTCATATCAAAACTGGATGCGGTATTTCAAAGTCCTTACCTGAACAATATAGGAGTAATATTGTGTGTGCATCTTGGAAGCTCCCATTTATATATCCCAGCATTTTATACAGCAGCACAACACTGCTGATTTATGTTCTACTTCTGTTCCACTGTAACCTGTAGGTTGTTTTCTACATAACTGCCACCTAGCCAGTTGCTTCCTAGCTTGCATCTGTGCCGTTGATTATTCCTGCCAAACCATTCCTACCAAATTGCATCTTGTCTTCATTCAAGTCATGTTTCCAAAATGTCAAACAAACTTTGAATTCTAATTCTATCTTCCCACACACTTGCAGCCACTCCCAGCTTATTATTATCTGAAGATTCAGTAAGTATATTCACTCTTCTATCATCCAGAGTTTTGGTGAAAATACTAGATAGCATTGGATCACAATAGAGCTCTGCAGAACACCATTTTTTCTAGTGAACTATTCCTGTCTATTCTCCAGTCATGACTTTCCAGTCTTGCATCCAAACGTGCAGCACCTAGACCTAGGCACTCTCTCTAGCCTGTTTGAGAATGTTACACACCTTTCATACTATCAAGAAGAGATATACATCATCATCACTTCCATCCATACAGCCAAATTCTGTTTCTATAAAAAAAAGTTATGCTAGTCTGACATGAGTTTGTCCAGTAATAGTCTCTCAGTTATCTTCTATGAATTTAGAACTGTTTTGATATGTTATTCCGTATTTTACAGGAATTAGAATTAATCTGACTGATCTGTCATTTCCCTGCTCTTCTCTTTCCTTTTTTAAGGAAACATACAGCATTTACCCATGTTTATTTTTCCAGTACCTCATCTATCATCCACAAATTCTCAGTTGTAAGATTTCTAATTTCAGGATTTCATAATTTTGGGTTTTTTTAATGTAATGTCGAGTTCATCATGCCTCAACTCTTTAAAAGCTTCTAATTTACCTGAACAATCTTTAATCTGTTATTTTCCTGTTCAGACGTAAGCCTTGGACTTTGATCACTGGTATTTATTTTGGAAATCATCTGGTCACAGTTGACATTTTAAATGAAAATTAACAAAGCCATCCTAAAACATTTTGACTTTTTTTTCCCCACCACTGACAACTTTTCTCTTCCTCTTTCTCGTACTGCTAAAGTATTTATTGAATGAGTTCTTGTTACTACTTCTACTGTTTAGCAAACTGCTAACTCCTGAACTTCTTTTCCCCTTAGCTTTCTCAGAGATCTTATTAACAATTCCATGAAGTTTATTGAATTTTGCTGGTATTTCTACTGTCTTCCCTCCTAAGTCTTGTGAACTCTATCATTTGGCAGTTACGCCGTGCTGGACACACTCACACAAGTTCCTTCTCACTGGTTCCACCCCTCCTCTTTAGCTGTTACCTCCGATTTCTATACGAAACATGCCACCAGCAGATTCCAAAAACCTGCTAAATAACCTGGGTCCTGCCCTATTTTCAACAGATACCTAGATAGTTAAAATCCCTATGATCAGTATGGTATGGCTGATTCTGCTAGTTGCTCATAAAAAGTCTAATCTTGCCTGACCCCCCTGGCAGTTCATAGTCATCACACTGAGACATTCCCCGGTCTCTCACCTCTGAAAAAACTGTACTCCTCCTCATCAGTATTTCAGTCATGCAAACTGTCACGCAAAGTCTCCGTCTCTCCTTGTTATACTGTTTGGAATAACCTTACCAGTTCTCAGTCTTACTGGTTCAGGTAACAGTTATTTGTACTTATTGGTGAACAGCTGTATTCTTAAAAAGCCTGAAATGTATTTAGCATGGCAGCTTACTATGACCCATACAGCAGTGTTCCTAAGCTAGGGCTTGTGAATCATCAAGTGCACCTGAAAGTAGCATCACAAGCAGAAAAGAATGACCTACTACGACGGATTCTTTAAGAAGATCTAAAATTGAGGAAACTGATCTCATCTTGTTTTGGTAAAAATTCAAGATACGAAATTTTCTGTACAGTGATCAAATCTTTTTTTAAGCCAGAGTTGGCTTCAGATATTTCAGACTTATCTTAAGAATTATGCTTGCTTCCTCTCAATTTAGTGCACAGTAATGCACAGTAACGTTCCTTTGAGTCATCAGCAGTTGAAAGTATCTACATTTACCAAGTGCCCTTTAAATGGCATTCATTAAGCAGGGAAAGAACACCTCATCGTGTCTCACCTAAGTGCGTGAGTATGCGTGCACGTGTGTATACAGACACATAGTCACTATGGGAAAACTTACCTAATTGTTCCTTGGTGCGCAGGGTATTGAAGCATGGTTCTGAGATAATTTGACAAAAGAGCTCCAAAAACATATTCTCAGAAGTGCTCTGCATGTCTGTCTGGTAATATATTTCAATGCCACAATTGTTATGAACTTCATTTCTCTGTTGATACACAAACCAACCTCCTAAAAGACAAAGTTAAAACATTTAAGTTCATAAAAATGTACATTCTCATTGTCCACAATTAAAAACATAATGGTCTATCGCTTGTGGAATGGAATTATAATAAATGGTTTAGAACTGTAAAAGCAGAATTTCCACTGACAGCATACTTTTCATGAAACAAGTAAAGAAAAGATTATTTTAACACATCAAAATGTCATAGCTTGAGCATATCAGCAAGTAAACTGAAACAGGCTGCTTCTCCTCAAGCAAATACTTTTGGAACTGGAGTGGAATTCTGCATTGCCTCTACTGTGTAAATAGTTTCTAAAGACAATTTGTCAGAAACATTTGTGAACATCAAAAATAATTCAGCATGTAATACCAATAGCTTCTTTGGTATATGGCAGCTTCCATAAGCTGATGATCAACTATGGGTAATTGGCTTTGGCTGTATAGCTACATGTGTCATCATTCCTGTGTAACTCCCAGCAATTCCTTGAACCTCCTTTCATATATGTAAAATTTTTTTGCACAATAGAAGTAAAATCATATACAACACTATGAGACCAAAAGGATTTCTATTAGAAAAAAACAAAGTTACTTGTGTAAGAGCTTTTATTTTTCTCAAAAAGCAAGGGTCGTTTAGGACAATCCTTCACTGAATGGTCAACTAATACTCAAAAGTGCTCAAAGAATGGTGCTTATTCAAATGTGTATACTATGTGTGGCAGAGCGTGGGACAGGGCTCTTATTTCCATGAATCATACCGAGTGAATTAGGATTGAATCACAAAATCATAGAATGGTTTGGTTGGAAGGCACCTTAAAGATCATCTAGTTCCAACCTCCAAGTAGTCCAATTCACATACACAACTAAAAATGAAATAGAATTCATTTTCAAGTGTATGAGAAATGATATATTAGTGTATAATTTTATTAACAAAACCACACCCTAATTATATTTTTAAATTTAAAGTTTAAAATAATTTTAAGTAAGTGATTTTGAAACAAACTCCTAGCAACAGAGTAATATTCATTTTAAAATGCCATTAGCAAACAGAGAATCTCAATGTAACGTGCATTAAAAAATTGTAAATAAAACATTTAACTTACTGTCAGGAAGTTGCACTTCTCTGTATCTCACTAGCTGACTGGGAAGGAGTGGCTTTGTATGAGCGTGTTCAATGAGAGTGTCCTCAACCATCTGCATAATTCCTAATGCAGCCTGGAAGAGAAAACATAAGAGGGTTTTTTAATGACCATTAGTTACTCTGGACCTAACAGCAGGGTAGAAGTTTCCAATTACTGATGGTGACATGAGAGAGAAGAAAAAAATCAAGAATAGAAAGTAAGGATTTTGTAATTTAATAAAAATACAGTACAAGTTAAGTAGATGAGAGGAAGTGGGAGTTTGGGGGGCGAGGGTTATGCGTTGTTTTGTTTTTACATTTATCTTGTTTACATGTTTAACTACTTCTAGTCCTCCCCAACACTGTTAAAATTAAAGTTCAATGGGCTTTTTTTTTCCTTTCCCTTCACCACTTTGATGTACTCATCTTCCAAAGTTTGAAAATGAGATACCTACAATGTATGTTTGCAAAGCAAACGACGCCTCATCAGATGGAATTTTAAGAAAACAAATTAATGATTAAATTCAAACATGCATTCTGTTGATATGCTGGTAGTATCAGGACTCATTGCCCAGATACTTTCTTTTATTTGATGGATTAAAACAATAATAATAAAAAATCATAAGTAGTGAAAAAATTTTAGAAATCATTAGATTCATTGAAGGATTTAACTTCAAAAGCTTTACCTGTTAAGGGTTATATGTTCTTGTAGCTACTGGAAATTACAGTAACTTGCTACAAAGTAGTTTTGCCTAAAAGCCAAAATCTCTTAGTCTGCACTGCCACAAACTCACAACACAAGTGATCTTATGAAAAAAGTGCAAAAGGTCTGAAACTTAATAAACACATGCCTCCTCCCAACACCCCACCCAGTATCAAAGACAAATGGTTTGAAGTCTAACAAAACACCGTTTGAAAGGTTAGAGAAAAATATTATAGCCTTCTTTCATCAAGTCACCATATTAAAACAAAATATTTACAAGACGACTGTTCAGACAGATGTTCTGAACAGGATTAGTTTACTATTCATCCACTTGCAGCAAATAAATAAAAGGAAGAGTCAAAAAACAAATATCAGAATGAAATTAATTCAAGAAGAAATGGGTATTTTAAGCAGCTAGATAGGTCCAATTTTTCAAAAAGTACAGATTGACTAAAAAATTTTTCAGTATTGAAAGGTGTCACAAGAGTATGTAAATTTTGATTTAATTTTAGTTGGAAGAATGTCTTGGATCCAGGTTAAAATTTCTGAGCTTTGTCACTGATGACGACATCATGGGCACTGAAGGACAGAGAACTTTTCCTGCTCACATCTATTCAAGGAGGTTTGCAGATCATTTCTAAACCTTACACAGCTATGGGCATAACAGTACATCCTTCCCAGGTCTCTAGCTGTAGGACTCTTCAACAGCCACCCATTATGCCAACTGAAGAATGCATTTCTCTGCGGTGACTGCAGCATCATGGAAATCTAAAAAATCTGGTCATTTAGCTGTATTTCAGAAGGAACTGACTTTCGTATACAAATGTGTACGAAATAAGGAAGGAAAAATGTGAGACTATTTTTTTACTTTTCTCCACATGAAAAATACTCTATAAAATTAAAAAAAAAAAAAAAAAATTTTTTTTTTAGAAACGTCCTTGAAAAAGAAAAGTTTGTGCATCCAGTGCTATTGGGTCCTTCACCTTTGTATTTTTCCCCTCCTTTCCAGTTAACTTTCTTCTCCATACATTCAGCAGTCACTAGCAGTGTTTATAGCATCTTATGCTAGTAAAGTATCACAGAGCTGACATAACATAGAAATACTGCTATATCAGCCCTATAAAAAAATTATACAAAAATGTACAAGAAAGGTACTACATTTTGTACATATATTCAAATATTTGGTTAGATTTTCTATGCAAATACAAACCATTACTATTTTAATGGAAGACAGAACAAATGTTTTCTGATTTTTACTCCCAAAAAGACACAACTGAGAGCTGACACTTATTTTTTATGGCCCACTATCCCTGTTTAGCTTTACACAAAGTACTTCACTTGGAAGGATCTTGGATTCTTAAATCTTTGCTAGTTAGCCTGAAACTTTTAAATGGAAAAGCAGGATCTGCAGCACATCGTTCCTTATGCAGCTTGATCACATCACAGTAATGACATGCAACATAGACTTTAAAATATTTAGATCATAAGTTGTTTTTTATTAAATTTCCAAGAGCAATACAAGGGCAGCACTTAGCCTAATAAATCGAAAAGTAGAAAAAATGACACTATGAAACTCTCATAAAGATAAAAAAGTACGAAGTCAAATCATGAAATCACATTTGGCAAAACTGCATTAAGATCTGAGAAGATTAAACTAGTCTTCCATTTTTTATGCTGCTTTTAAATAAAAAATGTTCTATTAAAGAAAGTATCACACCAACCTGTTTTGTTATATTGCCATGGAGAAGAGCTTCAATGTGTAACCGTGACAACAGTTGAGCTATAAAGGCCTTGAGGCGGGGAAGAGTGACATCTAGAATAGATATTTAGACAGTTAAAACAATTACGTGCATTTTTACATTAAGAAGTACCTAACTCATCATTAGATATGGTGCATTTCTTAGAGGAGGAGAAACTCATCATCATGAAAAAGTCAATCTCTCCTTAAAAATGCAACATTGGAAAGTTTCCAGGTCTAAATAGCAGCACTCATCATATAGTTTGTTTTGCTTAGAATTCACATACCGTCTGACCCAGATTCCGAAAAGAAAAAAAAAAAGCCTTCTTTCCAATCATGCTGAACAAACATTCATTCTCCAGAGAAAGCAGTTGCAATCATTCAGGTGGTGTTCCAAGATAAAGCCTTAGTTATTAACTAAACAAGCAGCATGTAGTTTATAACGCTGGAGAAACACACTGTGCATTTACCATCTAGGCTAAAAAACCAACCTCAACTCAAATACGGTGTTTTGATAGTATCTTTGTAACAAACAATACACAAGGAAAATATTTTTGCAATATATGCAAGAGTACGCATACATACACATTCTATGCTAGCCTGTCTTTGCAAAGCAGTTTTCCTATAAAATACAAAGTAGAGTTTAACATATAGAATCAATTGAATAAGAGAGGAAGGATGGTTGAATGGTTGGCGCATTCATCCCAAAGTCAACATCTCCATTCTTAATTCCCTGACACTACAAGAATACCCACACTATATCACCAAATCTATTAATTTCTCATTTTGTCATTTTCAACTAAAATAAAAGCTCATGTATTTCACAAAAGTTTTGAAAAGACAAATGCAATCAAGATCACGAGGTCACTCAGTTATTCAGTGGGGGATGCGCATATATCTAAAAGATTTGTGATTTGTATTAGAAAAACCTATGCCGTGTCTATCAGTCTTTCCCTCTCTTGAAAGAGGTAACTGACCACCAGTAAAAAATTCATTTCCATATTTTCCCCTGATTCCAAATCAACTTTTTATTGTTGTATAATCCTAATCTTAATTTTTGCCTCTAGAATTGCTTATTAATAGTGCAAAAGATTATGGTCACGTTGAGTGTGAGAGAGAAAAAGAGAAAAAAAAATTACACATAAACTCCCTGTATTTCAAGCAGATTTCCAGCAATGCTAAGCAGACAGCATTCCTTTCCAGCATTCCATTTTTAGCCATTCTTACGCTGAATACAGTAGCATTAATCTTATAAAGACAACTTACACACAGAACAGAAAATCTCTTATTTTTTCAAAATACGGTAGTCATTAAAAAAGGAATGACCTACATATAGCTGAACCCACTGCCATGAAAATCAGCGTTAGTTTTGTTATTGACTTCACAGGCAGCACTGGCACCACTGCTAACCTCAGAGACACCTGCAATCATTCAAGAAACTATACAACTAAACATTTATATTTCTATCCTGGAGCAATCCTGTAGAAAAAACACACACCCCTATGCAGCCAGCTCAGGGCATCTATAGAGTCTATCTTAATGAAGCAGTTTTCATCATCACAACTTCTAACAGTATGGTATGTGTTGGCCGTTGACAACTATGAATATGTATTCTGAATCCACCTCCTCAAATAAAACCAAAAGCCAGATATTCTTCTTGAAAAGAATGTCTTGGTGTATTCCAAGAAGACATTACAAGATATTTTGCAAACTGTCCCAGTTTGTCCCACCCTTTTTTTGTAACACAGTAAGATACGGGTAGGGAAGAGTTCTTCAGCTATTACTAAAATCAATCAAATCTCTTAATGTGAAATTTCTTCTTCCTCCAAATATAGTGGGATGCCTGCCCTTTGTGAAGAACCACAATGTTCTTTATTCTTTATTATCATCTACATAAATTATATCTTTTTTCTTTATTATCTACAGTTCTTTATTATCTACATAAACAGGAGTTAGGACTCCCTAATAATGGAAAAAACAAAATAGTATGCGCACTGGGAAGTACAATGCAGATACACTCCAATGCGTCTGCAAGATGTCAACTAGAACCACATGATTTTAGCAGTGTTGGTTAAGCACCGAATTCACCATACCCAGGCTCATGTCCACAAAGCCATTCAAGTTTTGCCTGAACTTTTACCTGCAAGCTTTGCCATTTGAGGCCTTTTGCCTGAACTATACTTTCTAGAAACCGGAGGACAAGTGCAGAGGCATCAACATCCACCAGCATCAGCTCAGGTCTGGCGCTGCAGGGGCTTCGCTTGAATAATGAGCAGATTTCAAAATAGATACCTTCATTAGTTTAGTAACAAGACATTTTCCATATGAAAAAATAAAAATAATAACATTTAAAACTGGCAGAACATTACCATCTAGAGCTTCTTTTAATTCATCTTTGGTCCAAGCAACTTCTGTCATCAGGAGTCGGAGATAATACATTGCATGCTGGTGAGGCTGTTCAGCCCTGAAGTTGTTAAGCGATCTCATGTACTAAAACAAAATAATTAAGTTCAAATTACAGAACTCTTATTTCTAAACATATTAACCTTGTACTCTCAACTTTATGTACCATCAAAAAGATACATTTCAAATGTCAAGAACATTCTCTTGCTTGTTAGACCTGTTAAAAAATTGTGTTAAATTACTTTAGTAATAATGTGGGCTTCTGAGCCTATGGATTAAGCAGTAACCATTAAGATAGTTGAAATGAGCATGAAATCAAACTTCTCCATAAAAATAATGACTGGAAATTAAATTATTGCAGTTAGACCTAAATAAGTATTTAGATCAAATTGCTCCACCCAAGAAATACACATTCTGTGATGACTGTCCGGGGGTGGGGGAATATCGCTAATAGAAAATCTGTTTTTCTCCCAGTTGCTTCCCTGGGCTTACTTGGTTAGAAAAATACAGGAGCATCTGGGAAATTCTTTGCATTCTTTGCCTGGATAAAGGAGGTATGAAAGAAGAATCAGTGAGCTTCTCCAAAGAAACTCCTTTCCAGTCCAGCTGCACCTTTACAAAATAAGCAAAACCTTTTTCCTCTACCAGAGGAACTGGAAAGTGCAAACTAATAGTTTTGGCAAGCTAGGATCTTTACTAGTACAGGAGAAAAGTGACTCATTTCAGGGTACGTAAGTGAGCATGAAGTTGCTGAGGATGCATTCTTCTATCTGTTCCAGCCAAAGCTGATATCTCCCTTATCTGTTAGGTGTAGACATGAGGGGAAAAACTGCAGTCTCCCCATCTGATTTAACTTTTTTGTATTTTGTCCTTATTTTACATACACAAAAGGCTTATGTAACAAAACTCTATAAAATGACAAAACATGCATATAATAGAGAGACGATGTTCAAGCAAACTATAAAGACAGTCGGGGAAACATCTTAAACTAAAAGAAAATCATCCAAAACGGATCATTCACAGACCTGTGGGTTTGGTTTTTTTACCTTGACATTTGTCGCATCCAGTTAAAACTTTCCAAACAATTAATGCATCTTAGGTACACAGAGCCTAAATAACGTGTTGTTATAATAAATCTACCTCATGTTTGATGTCCACCTGCTTAGGATTTCCTACTAAATAGTAATGAACTAAAGATAGCCCTGGTGTCTGTCTAGGCCAGTCACCTGTTCAAAAATCACCAGCAGCAGAGGATTATAGCTATAGCAAGCATGGAGTGATCTTCCCTGCAGCCCTAGCTCTCTCATGGAACAGGCTTCCCAGGGAGGTGGTTGAGTCCCCATCCCTGGAAGTATTTAAAAGGTGCGTAGATGTGGTGCTTAGGCACATGGTTTAGTGGTGGACTTGGCAGTGTTAGGTTAATGGTTGGACTTGATGATCTTAAAGGTCTTTTCCAAGCTAAATGATTCTTTGATTCTATCTACTGCAGACTACTTGCAAGCTTTCTGGGCCAGAAGTCAGCCTGTTCCCCAACACCAGTCTAATCCCTGTGCACTCATTTATACCTCCACAACAACTCATTGCTATGAGTGCCAATATCTAATTTGTTCATTTCCTTTGTTTTACCTCTGTCCTGCTCTAAAGAAAGTACCAGAAGAACAATTATGTCTCTTGTTTGGCTTAGCAAATGTAATCACCTTTCATAAATTTACTCCAGGAGCTTAAAAAAAAAAAAAAAAAAAAAAAAAATCTGACTTTCATTCCATATATATAGATCAGTCATTACATTTAGGAAGTGAGACTTCCAGAAGTCAGCATGTCCTTAACCAGCTGGTTACTTTCGCACCAGAAGATCTCGGGCTGAGGAGCAGAGCTCCTCTTCACATCTGGGGAGAAGAAATGTTGCAAACCTTTCAACACTTCCTTTCCCCCTTCATCCATTTTCTCCTTCTTTTATGGCTAGATCCCATTGGGGCCTTTCCAAATTGTAAAACAGTATATGAAGTTAAGATTTCTCGCCCCATCCCCCTTCTTAGACTTCTACTCCTATAAAAAGCGAGTTGCAATCCCTTGATCAATCATAAGACTGACTGAAGAAAGATTTCAGGGCCAGTTATTTTTAACCGAAGAATGTAATATAAACACTTCGGGGACCTCATGGCCACAAAAAAAAACAAAAGAAAAAAGCTTCTGCAGTTCCAGTGAGGCAGAATTTCACTCTGTATTTCCATGGATAATCAGCCCTCAGATTTCATTTCAAGTCGATGCATTCAATTTTAAATTACTCCAAAATATAAATTTCTCATGTAGCTTACCGCTTCCTTGATAATTTCAAATCGTTTTTCATCAATCTCAAAAGTAGCCATTTTCTCAATGATCTTCTTGAGCAAGATATGTTGCTTGTCATTATAACCTTTTACAGAAAGCTATGGAAAAAGCGCATAATTTGCTTTAAATGTGGAAGATAAAAAGACTAAAACAATTACCAAGTCTTGTATGATTCAATGAACAATACACTTTTCAACAATTACTCTAAATTCAACGTTATTCAATATTAACTCATTCTGAAATAAAATCCTTTTACCCATCAAAAGATAACTTACTGATGAATATAATATTGCATAGTTGCCCAGGAGTTATGAATGCAGAGAATTAATGTAATTTCGTGTAGATGTTAGCAAACTGTACTCAGAATGCAGTTTTTTTAATGATTGCAAGTATTGAGTTCTGTCAGTAAACTGTACATTTGGAGTACTGAAATGGTTTTACTCTAGGTTTCTCATTTTAGTAATGAAATCCAGATTCACAAATACTCTCTAATTTATTTTTAACCTTGTTTCATGTTTATCTTGCTGCTCATAAAAATATTTTACCTAAGTGGAAGTAAGCAGTACTACAAGAAAAGGGGTACTGTCAACAGCAGCACAATTTATAACCAGGATGATGCTGGGCTGAAACACCAAGGTAGTTAGTCTACAGTCGTAATGAGATATTGATCTGATCATACACATCTTTTTGAAAGTATAAATGGAAATATTGGGTCATTTAAAAAAACAACATAGAAACTTAAAAAACACTATATGATTGCATCAAGCTACAGAAAGTTTGTCTAGTGAAAAAAGGCATTAGAAGGCCTTTTGGGGGGAAAAAACTTCAAAATTTGTTATCTCAAAACAGGAATTAAATTGGATTTGTGCAGTTTATTTATTAAGGGTAAAACTAAATTTTACGACACAAACCAACATACAGGTGGAATTCCTGCTTTTCAGTAGGAAGATTTTTTTTCTTTTATAGTTGCTGAAACATACCTGAACCATGAATTTGAAGAAAAAACTATCATAAATGAATTTATGACAAAGGCTGATACCCTAATTAGCATAAAAACCCAAACTGTTCAACAGTCACCAGTATAGCATCTGTCCTTGCTTAAAGTATCAACGTTGTACAGTTACACCTATTGACTATAAAACTTCTCACGATATGGAAAAGAATATTAAAAGTTCCCAGATATCAAAATGGAGTAAACGGATTTTAATATGCGAAAATAGAATCTTTACAGTAGAAGAATATAAAGACCCTACAAAAACCAGCTAATATTTAAAATAACTCTAAACTTCCAAACTGTGACTAACAATAAAGAAAATTACACACACACACATGCCCCCCCGCCCCTTTTTTTTTAAGGAATTAACTCTGACCATGGAAACATCAGTAAGCTTGGAAACTGAAAATAGATAACCATGTTTGCAGTAAGTTAAGTGAATGCTACCAGGAAATGAGATTTGCGTTGAATAAAAAAAGAAATTGCAGCACTCTCTTTCATACAGAAAATGTAAAGACAATATGCAGTATATTCTCTTACTAAGATGCTTTGGAAAATAATACTTCTACAGGAAATTTCAAAACACATTTTGGTATAAAATGATGGTTAATGAAAGCTTTTAACAGAACTAACAAAGACTATTAAAATCTCCTAACATAAATCTCATAGGAGAAGCTGAGTAAGAAATAACTATTTATCATAATACCAGTATTTACCAAGTAAGTATTGTCAGCACTTTAAAAGAGATTATAAAACACGTAATAAAAACAAACACTAAGGAAAAACCATAAATATCCAGCATTGCATTCTAACGAACACATGCACAATCCATTTCCACAGCTCAGTACAGCAGAACTAGAGAATTATAACAAAATCTGTAAAGTTGAGATTCATTCAACAGAAAAGTTAATCTTTTTATATAGAAACCAGCACTAGTACTTTCAAGATTACCATGCAAGCAAGTAAAAATGTGAACTAGAATGCAACAATTGCACTGCACACAGGTTCACAAGACACTGCAATCTTAAACCGGTCACTCATTACAGATTAAAATATAGTTTTGCTTTGCCTTTAATTCATGAGATATATGCAAGGAAAAAAACATTAACCATCTCATTTAGAAATGCAGAAGTCAAATGTTTTCTCCAAGCTCAACAACTCCCAAGCTGTTTCATTTCCTCCTGCGTTTTTTTTCTTACTTACAAGTATTGCATTCATTCCTGATGCAATGCCATAGATCAAACCTGAGAGGCGTGCTGCATATGTATACTCTTTTAAATCATCCTTCAATAACCTGATAAACAGGTATGTCATGTTGCAATGGAGAGGATCAGCATAAATGTAGCGACTAACAAAAAGAAAAACAAAAGAAATGCTTTGATACCTCAAGCAGTGACAAAGTAATGGATGAAGAAACATGACTGAAGAGTATGTATATGCAGCCTCATGATCAGTAGTTCTTAAACAGGAAAGCTGAAGTGTACCATTTATTTAATAGCATGAGAAGGGGGTCTTCTACCCCATCAGTCAGAAAGTTTTTAGTAGATATCTGACAAACTGAAATAAATATGTAAGCTTGGATTAGGGTTGCTTTTTTCTTTTTTTAAATGGAGGAACAAATCTTACAACTAATTAATTTCATGAATGGTATAAAAATAAAGAAGAAAATTTGCTTAATATGAATGGAAAGATTGTTGAAGACTTTGAAAAAAATTCAACTTAAAATTCAAATTAAAGAAAGGATGGTTAATAACCAAGATCAAAAGTAGTAACAGCCTTAGACCCATTTTTAAAATAAAAGTCCTTCCATCAAATCAATATAAAAATGTTGATGAGTGGAAGTAGTTTTAAGGCTCTAAGCTCTTCCTTGATTTGGGTACTTACATACATCCCATAGATGGTATTTTGGAGATCATAGTTCAAGCCAGCTAGTTCTGCTGCATATGCATACTCGTTGAGGGAGTCTTTGAGTAGTTCAAGGTACAAATAGGCCATGTTACAATGCAAGGGATCCACGTAAGCAAATGGGCTGGAAGAAAATGTTGAAAGTAAAATATGCAGTTTAAAATTATTTCTCAGTTTCTTTTGGCCTTTTAAGTTTGATCTGAAGGATACAATATTTACTGCGAGTATGCTGATGGATCCCATTATGAAGGATTCCTATTTTGAAGCCAAATATGAACATACCTGAAGATAATTATTTATCTTGCTTATGGTTTGAGCGATGCCTAAATATATTGAAGATTCCAGAGATACTCTTATTTGTGCTCATAAATCAAGACATGTTATATTTACTTTGCTGCACAGTCAGAATTCACCAGGAGTAGAATAAACTAAATACACCCTGAATAACCAACATAATTTAATAGACTGAAATGAAAGCCCACATACTGAACATTAATTTAATTAATACTTCTACACTATCAGAAAACAAAGTAGCTTCTGTTACAAAAATTAAGAGATTAGCAATTTGTGGCATGAAAAATATGCAGTACATGCTAAGTTCAGCTCAGGAAAGAAGTCTGGCATATCCATTTTCATACCACTGTAATTTTTGTGTTATCTTTTTAATGGCAACAACTATACAAGCTCTACTGTTGTATTAGAAGCATCTGATCACATACAATACTGTCACAAATTTCTCAGAAAGAGAAATGTAACTCAAAGACTCAAGCCATGTTTCAACTGCGCTAATTGTTAAATATCTGTGTGTTTTAAAGAGTTGCAAAGTCAAGTTATTTGCACTAGGATGGAATATTTATTTCTAAAGCTTCTGAAGTGCATGTAAATTCATTATCAATTTCACAGAAAGAATCAGCAGTATCTAAAACAATTTGCTGTCAGGATACGGCTTACAATTCAAAACCACGCCACTTGCATTTATTTTCCCTAATCGGTCACTAACAGTCATATTCAGAGACATGCTACTATGTATGTTTAAGTCTATATAGCATGGTATTTCACGTATACCAACATTAATGTTGTAAAACAAAGATCACATCAGCACACCACACATGCTGATAACTTTAAAACACATTGAAAAGGTATTTTTAAGAAGGTTCCTAGTAGTTTTTAGTAAGGCCTTGACTTCTTCCTTTTAGATAAAGGAAAGGAAGCATGGGAAGAGATTTAAAATAAATAAATAAATAAATAAATAAATTAATCTCTTAGATAAGCAGAGCCTACTATAGTCTGAAATCTTAGCCTAGGATATGGCTTTTTACCATAATTGGGTTAATATTTAACTATTACTGGGTTAATTATTCTGGGCTTGGACTTGTGTACCTTAAGCAAACAGGTCAGTGGAGAGAGAAGAAGGAGGAAAAAAAAAAAAAAAAAAAAAAAGGAGACTCTGCTATTTGCATTTCTCCCTACACTGAGAATTTCTGAAAACTGAGCAATTTCAATATGCCCACTGATGCAAACCTAATTAATATTGAATTTTTTAATTAAGACTGAATTCCAACCAAGATGTAGGTCAATCCTACGTTATCATAAACCTTCCTCCAAACTCATTATGTTCTTTTCCATTTTGATACTAGAATAGACACTTAATCAGTTTGAGTGATTAGTATGTCCATATCAGTTATAACTTCTATATACTCATTTAGCTGGTAAAGGCCAACAGGGAGTTTTGAAAATAATGAAGACTACTAAGTCATTAATCCTCAAGTGAAAAATAACAGAAAACAACTGTTATAACACTGTTTTGGGAGTTGCCTTCTATTACTGACAACTTTGTAAATAAATGCTTATTTCTAGTTTAGCCATCAGGGCTGCAGGCAGAAGCAAGCCTCCTCGTCTCTTCTATCTTACTGAAGCAGTCTGTAGTGCGAACAAATTCCTGTAGTCTGCTACAAGGCAGCATAGCCATCATATTCTGATCTAGAATTGAGGCTAAAACTTTTTATGAAAACCCATGTTATTAAGATGGCTTTATTCACCAATTCACTTGGCCAGAAGAACTATGGGTAATTTCATCAAGTCTCACGAGTAAACAACTATACATTTCACCACTTCCTCCAATGACCATCAGCATGACCCGTCTCAAGAGAGATTCACGAAGAATCTTTCTTAAGTATCAAAACCAGACAAACCTGCTTACAACTTCTTTTGGAGATGACGTACCCAATATTGTCAAAATCTCCTCACATCCGTTTGTATCCAATTGCCATCTTATTTTTAAAGAAAAGGAAAGGACCCTCACCCCCAACCCTAAGAAAAAAGCCTGCTTTCCACCTGTAACCATTCCTAGGATGAAACAGGCAAATCATTCCATTACATTAGTCAGCAAAGCTCGAGTACTCCTGGCTTTTTAAAAGGGCTCACTGAGATGAAAGTACACATCTAACTGAGAAAGACTATCACCACATATGTAGTCGAAGATGTCCCTGCCCATTGCAGGAGGGTTGGACTAGCTGACCTTTAAAGGTCCCTTCCAACCCAAACCATTCTACGATTCTATGATATTGTGCGTATGCGCACATACTTATACCTTTGTTTGCTCTACATAAAATCAATTATCATCTTTTAATCATTCATAAACTCGTATAGAGATTAGATCACTCATAGTTCATTTGGAATTGATTTTAAAAAAACCCAAACACAACTGTATAGCATAAACTCAGCGTCCAGCAATAAAATTCTATTCTGGATTTTGGCCAAACACAGTGCAAAGGAAAGCCCCTAGGTATGAACAAAGAAGGCAAAGTATTGTCATTGTTGTTCTCTGAATAAAAGATAGGCAGTTACCATTTTGATCTTCCATTTCCTGACACATTGAAGTTGAAACAGTTGTAATGTTTGCCCTGTGGTTTCAAAAAGCAAAAAGAGGAAATGCCCAGGCAACCTATTTTCCCCAACTAGTACCAACACCAGTACCAAGATCTGACACTCTCTGAAAAAAATCCTCTATGTAAAATTCTGCCAAGAAAAATTTGAAGTGAGTCATTCAAAACAAGAACTCAACAGTACATCTATGAGCATCTATCAGAGCCCATGTAATAGCCTTTCTAGCAATATCACTGAATCATTTAATTAGGCCAAAGGAGGAGAGTTCCTGAAATTATTTTCACTTGCAGTAGTCCAGCACAGAAACAGCTGCACTCCGAAGACAGCAGTATGTTTTTTTTAATTCACAAGTTAGAAATTATTACTTGAAAGGAACACTAAGAAGGTACATCATTGTCATGCTCACTTAAAAAAAAAAAAGATAATTTTCCTGTGACGAAAATAATGCAAGACCAGAATTAACATTACAGCACTTTATCATGCATCTTGAGGTGAGAATCACACATTCATTGATAACACAGACGGTGTTCTTCTAAAAAAAAAAAAAATCAGTTGTTGGCGTCAATAAAAATCCCACAGTTTTAAGCACTTAGAATTTTATACTGGCTTGCATTATGCAAATTAAACTAGAATTTGAACTGAAAACCATTATCAGAATAGCGTTTTATAAAGAACACACTGTCTTAGAATAGTTGCGATTTATGCATTAATTAAAAATAATACACACCCATTTTTAAAGAGGCATATTGCAATACATAGTAGGTCCTATTGGCAGGAATATTTCAGGTATAGCAGATAAAACATAGAAGAAAATTTGTTTTAAAAGTATTTTTAGATAAACTTTTCCTGTTAATATAGATGGAGCACCTCAGACTGCTTGCTACTCAAACTACTGCATAACTTACATGAGACTTCCTGCTATCTGTATCTTATTGCATGTTCCCAAGTAAGGACAAACATTTTAAAGCCTCAATACATACAAGAAAGTTTTTGCCACAGAAATGCAGATTCCCAACAAACAAGAAACTTTTGGAGAGCAATTTATGTGATATACTTAACATTGCATACCTGAAAAATTCAAAGTTGAGACAAGCTTTCGGCAAAAAAAATTTGTCATCTTGCTTGAACCATAGTTTGCTCATAGCAGTGTCCTATGTCAAGAAAAGAGGTTTTGTTAAGTTGCCTAACTTTTAACTGTAATATATTACACTATTTTTAAAAAAAGAAATCTCTTCACCACTTCAAATCTCAGTTTAGTGTTGTCCCCTTAAATTCATATTCTTGATATATACATTTGTGTATACATCCTTCTATCCTTACTGAGACTCTCTTCTTACCATATGTCACCTTAACAAGCAGTTAAATAGCTGCAGCATTGTAAATGAGCTTATGATCAAAATGGGAACTACTTTTCTAGAGCAGGACTGATCAAACACAAATACAGAGTTAGCTTCACAAAATTCCTGCCAACGCTGGCATTAAAAGATGTGCCATTATGCAGCACTACAGCAGCATACAGTTACATGTTTTAGACTAAGAATATAATTGGGTATTTAATGCTCTAAGTAAAAAATATTAATGCAATGTATGTTGTTTTAAAGTAACACTGGTAACAGAAAACACATATGCATTTAGAAAAAGTAGTAAAACTAGTTGGAAATTAGTTAAAAGATCTGTCACCAAAATTTTTGTAGAATATTCTCCTAGTACAGGAAAGAATCTAAACAACCTCCCCTATTGCTTTTTCTCCCACAAAAGCTGTGAAAGAGATACTCTCTCTGTTCCAACTCTAGTTAACTTTATCCCTCCAACACCTTTTCTTCAAATTGCTATACATAAGAAGAGAGAACTTTTAAATGTAAAATTATTTCTCTTCCTCATATTTTTGAGCAGATGTTCTTTGTTTCTCAGGGATTTGGCATGGTATTTTCCTCCTCCTTTTTGCATAAAAGAAATAAGTCTCATCTCTTACAGCACACCTCCTCTACACAATATTCGACTCATACTAAAAAGCCAAATTACAGCTTCTCTCCGAGACAGAAAAAAAAAAATATTATTCTGTTGAATTGCTACTACGCAGTTTAGAATACATCTTACATCAGGGACAGAATGATAAACAGTAGAACCTCTCTGTAGTACTGGAGACCTGATCCAATAGCTGGAAATCGCTAGCTGCAGTCCATAGTAACAACTTGGCCCTCCGGCCAAAGCCTAAATGCCCTCTTCCCTGAGGGTTTTTCAGGGCAAAATGTGCCATTACAACAGAGGTGACCTAGTGACATGCTGCCAGTGAAAATGGGAATCCTGTTCCTGCGCTTATGTTCCCGTCCCTCCCTTTCTCCACAACACTGGTCCAGTCCATAGTAAGCTCACTTAGGCATATAAAACAGCAGAAAAATTGCTTTTTTTGTACAGCTAATCTCTGCTGATTTAGTTCTTGCAGTGTTTTGCTGTGGGGTCAGACAAATGCCAGGGCCCACAAAAGGAGAATGGCACAGACATACAGCTGGTGAGAAAATAAAAAAGATGCAGGCAAAATAGATAAAGTCTATTTCATCAAGAACAGCAGATTAAAAACATTCTCCCTCAGAAAACGTATTTTAAAGGGAAAGGAAAAACTAAAAGCAAATACATTGCTAAAGCAATGATGCCTTAAAGCAAAGCTGTTGTGTGGACCAACTGCCTAGTTGCTACAGAGACACTGAAGGACCATCAAGTTTCTGTAGCAAACCAATTAGTGTTACTTAATAGAGCTGTAGTATGTGTCCCTGCTGAGGTTTAGGGTTTCAGTTCAGGATGAACATAAACATACGCTCAAAGTCCTCCTCTGTTAATAATACCGCTTCAAGTATATACCTCAAATGCCCTGTGCAGAACAAAAAAGGTTCTCCTGAAGGTCGTCTTTGCACTAAAGCAGGCTTATATTAATCTAGTGTACAAAAAGTATTCCTGAATTGACTATTCAAGCTGAAGCACAACATGAAATTGCAGAAGACTTTTCCTATTTATCCTCCAACTAAGCCTGTAACAGAGATGAGCATTAGCAAAGACACTATGCTTTAGTAGTGAGAAGAAATTTTTAGTAAATTTTAGGTACTCAGAAAAACTGAGATTTGCCAAACGTACTGAGATCATTAAATGATGCTTCCAGGACACTGGAGAGTGATGTTTATTTACGCTTTTACATCTCTCTCCCTTTTTCCATGCAATCACAAGCTTTTTCCATACAGTTACAAAAGAATAGCCATGTCTACACCCTTGACTTACTGAGCACTGCTCAAAAAAAGAGTGGCAGCCACCCTTCTGCTAAATAAACAGCTTTAATAGTATTTCTATCAATTGTTAACACACTTTCAAAAGGACAAAGAGAGTTCAAGCTGTTGGTAGGTTCATTTTTGTAGGAACCCAAGTAGTTATAATCCAAAGTTTAGCAAGGATGAACTTTCTACTGTCTTTCTAGCAGTATCTTTAAGTTTTGTACTTCTTTGTTTATTATACTTTGGAATGTGACATAATCTGTATTTTAAAAACACATAGGAATTACCTGCTAACTTCCCAGAAGGTCAGCTAGCAAACAGAACAAATACAGATAGCTTACCTTGACAAGGGCAGGGTACTGTGTTGCATCTTTTTCCAATGGCAAAATCTCAAAGTTAGTAGGAATGAACTCATTCTTCATTGGAAGCTTGAATTTCCCATTCAGGTCAGCATTTTGCCATTTCTAGATAAACAGGAGAAACAATGAGGCTAAGTAGAATTTCTGCTTAATTAATGGATATATACTTACTTATTTTATGCTGTAACAAAAGATTTTAAAATGTGTTCCACTACCTTATGTGTAAATACTACCAAGATAACAGGAAGAAATATGTGGGAAACCAAGCTGGAGTAGGCTATCAGCAGGATGAAGCACTCCGAGAAGGAAGACAACAGATAAAAAAAATTTCGAAAAGTTTACAGTAGAGTGAAACTTGGTTCTACGTCTCATCTTTTCTGCTACTGTGAACTCTAAATGAAGGTGTTGAACTAGATACATAAGCAAGAATTCTAATCAAGAACATAGGTATAGACAAGCTAAAGGAAGCGAAGTGTTCCTATGCAATATCTGTTCAAAGCATCATCGGCAGGCCCAGTTTAGCTCTAGGGTGTATTTTACAGCCATCTCTTCTTAAAAGAACAGATCAATAACAAGTTTCAATACGGGCTTGCCCACTTCCTTTGTTGGAGTTTTGATTTTCAAAAGCTCTTTCAACTGGCAAAATATACTAATTTTCTAAGTTGCAAAAATCAATTTCAGAAACAGTTACATACAGCAGTTGTAAAAAGATTCCTTTCCTAAGAACAGATTAGTTCATTAACAGTTAATAGAGACTTTTAAGTTTTAAAAAGTTAATGCTTAAGCTTTTAAGTAGCCATTACGTATTATGGCTCTTTTATAGCAAAAATTGTACAACATTCCCTGCACATAACATGGTTTAAAACCATTAAAATACATCTGTCTCATGCAATAAATATTTGAAATCTAAAGACTAACCTAAGAACCTTACTTCTCATAATATTAAACAGACTCATTGTACAATTTTCATGCTATGTAGAGCAGCAGATTTAAGTTCTCCAACTAAATGGAAAATTAGACAAAATTTACCACTGTCTTTCACTTGCAGATATTAGAATATATTAAAAGTTTTAACATGCCTTAATAACTTCATCAGAAATTGCTTCTTGCTTGTACTGTGTTCCATACCAGTCTTCTGTTCGATCAGTTTTTCCTTCAAAAGACTTGGAAACTATTGCAACTCTGAAAACAAAGAGACAAAGCACTTTGGCATGAACGTGTCTGAGAAAAGACTGCGAGAAGTTATTCAGAGCACTATTTCTGTTCCATCACTAGAATGCATTTATTTCTGGAAATGATGCCTGGACAATTACAGAGTACATTTGGATAGCAAGTATACGTATACTGAACTACACGCTAAGGTTAACCATGAAATCAGGTTATCAGTGTCATTTAATTTTACTGTTTTTCTTAAGTGTTACAACCTAGAGTTACACACAGTTATTGTTGCATGCATTTCTACTTTTTAGGCTTTGTCCTTGTTCCAGAAAATACAGAAAGCAGTCCTTGAGATCTTCTGCAAAATTAATGAAGTGACTACAACATTTTTCATGCCACCTATATCAACACTCAGATGTGAAAATACTGACTATAGAAATTTTATTCCAGACCTAGTGTTTTAGATTACATTATTGCAGTTTCACTCTCCCATTCATAATTTGATAGTAATAGTTTCTTCATTTTGTATCATTCCCATATTCTCATTGCAGATTGATACCTGCTTCTCCCCCCCTTTTTTTTTTTGTTTTGTTTTGTTTTGGCTTTTTTGAGGGGAAGGGAAGAAAAGCAGGAAGATTTATGTATTTTACAGTCAATACAACAGAATTATACTCAATTAGAAACCTAAATCATAGAATTATAGAATATCTCAGGTTGGAAGGGACCCACAAGGATCATGAAGTCCAACTCCCTCCTTCTCGCAGGACTACCTAAAACTAAACCATATGACCAAGAGCATCGTCCAGACGCTCCTCAAACTAAAGAATACACCTAAATAAGAGGAAATCCAGAATAAAGAACATTACAAACTTATCAGTATTTTTTCAGTAGTCTTCATAATAAGTATCAAGAAAACTCCTTGAGTTCTTTTTAACAACCTACAACACAAGAGTATTCAATGGAAATAAGTAGCTAGCTTTAAGAGTAAATAGATGTTTGTAAGAATTCTGAAATGGTCAAAAAAGGTACCACAATTACCTCCTACATATATTTAACAATCCCTAGATGCTGAAGAGCACAGTAACAAACTTTTGTCAAATCTTGTGCAGATGGCTAAAATACACATTAAAACATCAAAATAAAGGCAATCTAAGTGTTCTTTTTTTAATCACAATATCTTCAGGCCAGGAACATTCTGTTGCGTATTTCTAATGTGCACAGCAAAATGGGGCATAAATCAAAACAGGCATATGGATGTGCCTTAAACTATAGTAGTTTAGTTTACAAATATATTACTGGAAAATACCCTTAGGATAAATTTTGCAATACATTGAAAAGTTTAAATATGCGGACTATTAATATTGTAAATACCTATGTCTATGTATACCTACCTCTTTTTTCATCTAATGTTTACACATAAATGACTAAATGATCCAAGAAGGTTGAAGAAAACACGATTCTGCTGTATTTAGTTCTAGATTCCCCCATTATGAAGATTTTCAAATTATTAATAATTTAATCTGTGCATTGCAGTTTGAGCAGCCGGAGAAGAGTGGGGTAAATAGCCAGCATTAGATGCATTTAAATAAATGACAAGTACATCTCAGAGTCACATGGGACTGTAAAGACATTCTCTAGCAACAGATTCAAAAATTGAAGCAGGACTTGCACCACAGGCTGTCTAATTTTGAGACAGTATTTTAAATCATACACACAAAAGCAGGGCAACTAAATCTCATGTTTTAGGGATGCAGATTTCCTCTGGGTTGAGGAAGGGAGAAATTTTTCCTCTCCACCTTTGAAAGAACCACATGATTAGCATGAACATGCACACACATACATGTGAATAAACAACCACTGCTCCTCTGCAAAAGTTATATCCAAACCAGAATGAGAATATTAATCTTTAAGAGATATACTATTTCATCTCTCATTGCAAATGGCAATAGAAATGGTTAACATTCTATTGTGACTTCATATAAAACTGTTTCATATCTGTTTGCAGGTTAAATCTATTTCATTTTTTGTACAGAAGGAACAATACTAAGTAAATATTCAGCAAAGAACTAAGCATTTCAATCCTAGAGAATATTTGTTCTTGCAACACAGCGGACACTAGCTTGGTCAACAAGGTGAAATCTATTAGAGATTGTTGTTTACATTAAAAGGAGCCACAGAAATATTCTATTATGTTTTGCATTTTAACTTGGACAGCTGGTGAGCAAAAGCTCTATCATGTACAGATGAAGTTGCTAAGAGACTATAAAAACCATAAAGTCTCTCAGAATTTCACAGCAACCTACCAGGCCTTTCCATCCACTAAATAAAAAATAAAAATTAAAAAAAAAAAGAAAAAAGAAAAAAAGGAGAGTCTTAAGCTAAAAGATTATCCTGATAAAATTCCAATAATCATGCAGCCTGAGCAGCAGGACAAAGGTGTTTTATACTATAATACATAGATGTCTGTTACTCGACATTCCCCCTTTCTACCCTTCTCCAACATACCAATGCTACAGCAGTTGTGACAATCCAAGCACCCAAACATATGCTGTAGGAACATACTAAAATTAAAGAGCTAAAAATAATTCTGTCTGCTCAACATATAGAAAATGAAATTGTGGAAATCAGCATTGCAATTCTTCAAGCAGTTCTGCTTCAAGGGATCCTCCTGCCCTCCCTATTCCCCAAATCACTACTGGAATGATTGCTTACACTTTGAGCTCTCAGAAACATACCCACAACGACATGAAACAAACCAAAAGGCATTTCATCTGCCTGAGACTTACAACCTAAGCCAAGATACAAGCACCAACAGCAATGAACACCAGGACAGGAAAAGAAGAGGGGAAAAGAAGCACCACAGGTAGAAATACAGTGCTATGCAGTTACTCAAATGTATTATGATGCATCTTTAAAGTTACCAATTATGTGATGTTACTTCTGCTTTTCATTTCTGTGTTGTGCTGTATAGCACTATGAACATCCAAATGGTTTAAGACAGCATTGAAATGCACTGGAAAAGCAAAACAGGCAATCAGGCCATCTTTAATAAGACCTGCTTATAACATATTTAAACTCAACCAGTGCAATTACACTTCCGAGCCAGTCATGAGCATGGAACACAGCTGAAACTATGAATGCAATTTAATTCTATATGTACATTCTTGTACGTGCAAACTGCTGTAGTCCTCAGTTATGGTCAATTTTCAAAAACAAGCACAATTTCTATAATGTGATACACATTTACTAGATACCATCTTGTTTTTCACTCTCCTGAAATCTAAAATGAAGCTACAAGTGACAGATCCACAGGAGAGGGTTACTTGGGAAGAGAATGTGTGCTTTAAAATGAATGTACTTCCAGGAAAGATTATCAACTACTATACTCCAGATTTACATAACAAAACTCAAGCTTCTAAGGGTAAAAAGTAATAAACTTTGAGACCACAGTATTTGTGGTATTAGTAACAGACATGTCAAAGCAGATTTGTTGCAAAAAAAATGAATTTATACTTAAAAAGGAACAATTCCCTTTTTTAGGAACTAATTTAAACTTTGTCTTCCAAATGATGGTATTGTCAAACAACAGAAAAAATTACACATATCTTATTCAACTGCATAAAATAACATGACTGAGACAAAAACAGCAGAAGCCTAGATCTGTTTATAACTTCCCCCAAAACCATCAGTAAAACTGATGTGAGGCAATATAGGCTGTTCAAAGCCACTTCCACACAAATCTCATCAGAAAACAGAGTAAGAGGGAAAACTACATGCAGAGAGATGTTGCTGGGTTGCAGCATTCTAATCATTCTGCAGAAGCATGAGTTGTTAGGGTTCAATAAAACTAAGTTTTCTAGAAACACAATGGTTTGTGGGGGGAAACAAGTGAATAAATTGTGATTTTCAAAATCTTCACTCAGATACAATGCAAGTAAGAAATGAACACATACATTCCATATTTGTAACATGTTTATCATCAGGGATGAGCATCACCAACTGCATTGAAATAACTGTTTGCTCAGTATCTGTGAAATTCCAGCCCTTAAAAATTTCTGCATCAACATTTTTGGCATTCATTTTATTTTTTTTCCCCTCTAGGATAGTACTAGTGCTGCACTTCAGATACCAAGAGAGGAAAAAAAGTCCATTTACTATCTAGGGGAAAATGTTCTTTAGTTGCTTAATCTGATGAGTCACCAGCTTCTTAAATTTTAATAAGAGCATTTATTCTGCAGATGATGAGGGGGAAAAAATTGTACTGGAAATGATGGGAAAATTACATTTTTCAGCTAAGATTGCGACACACGCCAAGTCTATTCCCTTATCTTCACAGATGGCTGGCAAAACCCAATGTGGTTTGAACAAGTAAAAATGATACTTACATCTTAAAAAGGTTTCACTCTTAGGGAAAATAAGCCACTAAACGCAACAAGTAGTGTGCGGGGGCGGGAGCGGGGAGGAGAACATGAAAACTTCCTGTTATGGTTCAGTCAAACAGAAGCACATATGGATACTTGCTACCATCTGTGAGTATGGATATTTTTCCATAATTTTTAAAAACACAGTTTTTTAAGAAATTAACAGTTGAGAAGCTAAACTTTTTTAAAAGACATTGAACAGTAGTCTCTAACTGCGAATGCAGCTACCCCAATATAGATATGCCAAGAAAAGTCCTTCATGTAGGTTAATTCCAGTAGGGTTATGAAAAGGAAATTATAAATAAAACCACGATACAAAGGAAAAATTCAAATCAATGGGAACTAAACCATTGCAAGACAATTTATGCAAGGCCTAAAAAGAAAAAAAACAAAACAGGAAAAAAAAACCCAACATGCAAAGCTAGGATGATGTGGCACGTACTAATTCTTTCATAAAAAGGGAGAACAGAAAGGTGAACATGAGCATAAATATCAGTAAATGGCAGATAACCAGAACACATATAGATATTTAAAAGCACATGTCCACAGTTTTTTATTAGTATATACAATTTGCTCAAGCAAAGACAAAAGAAGGAAACAAGC